ACAATAAGGCTTTCAAATAAGTCATGGTTGTACGGCAGTGAAGCATTGGTGTTGAACACTGATGTCATGCTGTCGTTGATGATGATGAAAAATTGTGCATGAATTTTCGCCAGCCTCACGGAGGAACTGATAATTAACCAAGCTGTTTCGTCACATAGACTTATTAGAGACTGTTTTCACTGGTTGTTCGTTCGTTCATCATCAGTGTTAAACAACAATGTTTCGCTGGCGTACAACCATGACTTATTTGAAAGCCTTATTTTAAACAAAAGAGTAAAGAAAGATGGGGGAGGAACTTAGTGCTAGCTTAACACAATCACTCCGAGGTGCCTACACCTCCAGACATTCACTCAGGCAATCTGGATAGAAACTGACAACAAGAACTCCACAACCATGACACTTACAACTATGTTGGGGCAGGAAAAAACGAAGATCGATTAGGGGTTGAACCGCGAAGTCGTCTATGGAAACCGGTTTTGTTCAGTAAGTTGGAAGATTCCCGAGTTCACTAAGAACAACAGTATGAGCTCTGTACACTTACAAGACGCGGAATGTCCCTGTAGCTTAAAGCTGTTTATACTGCTTGTCACCGATTTTACCGTTGTCTTTCAGTCTCCTTGGATAATCTAACAAATAAATTACTGTCCTTCCCGCTCGATTAAACCTAAAAACTAATATTTTCAGGTTGGAGCAATTCCAATTCGTTGTTGGAAACACTTCTACTCGACCTACCACCTTCTTGATGAGCAACGTAGGCATCAGCACAGCGTTCAATAAAACGGTTGAAGTCATGGCCAGTAAACTGTCTTCGTGTGAAAGTCACTATGGCGATATACGTTGTGTTACTTCATTTTCGCAAACTCTCGGCCCACCATACGCATGCTATCCACCCAGAATGTGCGAGAAAATGTTAGAGTGTGCGTCTTGGAGTTTCTGCCTCTGGGAGTAGAACACTTCAAAGAGTTCGGTCTTGCCTGGATCAGACAACCGTGTCTACAGACCTTGTAGAATAGCAACTAACTACATAAAAATTATTCACTCTTGGGATTTAAACACCGAAGCGAAGATAAACAGGAATCCGAACATTGGCGTACTAGTCACACCCTCGGAAGATGCTAACTAAAAATAACGTTTCACGGAAGCTTACCTTCGCAGTTCTCGGTTTTCTGGATCCAATAACCGATGGCCGATCCGCAGATAAGGAGGGTGCGGTGCCATCATGTACAACCGGTCCAGCCTTTTCTGCAACGTCACCTAACCCTTAAAGAAAGATACATCCCATCTTCAATCTGGTGCAACAAGAACAATGAAAATCTGGGTGGTAGACTGCTTTAGTGAAGCAATTCACAGCATGAACCTAGCAAAACCAGCTTACAGCTATCGAAAAATACACTCATTCGCAAATCAATTTGGTTTTCGCGAGAGACTCAACTGAATCTCTCGTTTGTGATATTCTACTGCTTACAGCTAATCCACACCATTCCAAGCCTGAATAGGGATGCCAGCCTTTCACGCACTCGTAAAACATGAAACCTCAAGCGACAAGACTTTTCTTTCCTACCTAACGCGATTTAGAAGCCTCATTCGGCAAAATACTCGGACTAAGTGATATCAACTTGATCCACACATTCCTGTCTTTCGCAACATCCCAAAATTCTGAAAACGGATGGTTGTTTTCTATGGTGTCATCATCACTGTTATTAACAGAAATATATCAGTGGTAAGCACTGGTGCTTAAATGGTATGCGGTATGGTGTCTTAGGATGTTCGGGCTGAAAAGCAGTTACAAAACAGAATTAAACCAGAATCACCGAGACAAACCTGTAATCAAAGTCTGACTCGGACTGTGTCATGTTCGAATCCGGGGACTTGCTAAGGTTCCACATAATTCCACAATGGGATGAGGCGAAGAGGTGGCAAAAGTTACCCGCTTGCAAGGCGCTACAGGTACACAATGGCACTGCAGAGGATGGACTACCAGGCGAATACTGATTATCAAGAAGGGAAAGTTCCAGGATAAGCAGTCTGGGATAGCTATGTGTGATGCCGAAGCTGGCAACTAAGAGTATGTTCCTGATTACTGTTAAAAAACAACATAGGGCTAGGCCTCCCGTGCCATTTGGAAGAATCAAGTAACTCACTTAAGATATCGTTATCCCGATGTGTGTTGCTCAAGGCTGCGCCGCTAGCGAAACCAGTACTTCCCACAGACGTGTGCTCCTGAAAGAAATCTGATTCTTTGGCTGTCTGGGGTTCCGCTGACTCTTCGTGAGCATCAATGTGGAGCTAAAACATTGAGTATGGTGCCATAGATTTACCTTGGTCCCATACAACTTCATAGCATTGAGTGCGAGTTTCTCTAACTTTGCACGGTACAACTCTGCAGCCCTACTTTGATATTTTTCTTGAGCATCAGTGGTTCTGCAGTTATGCTGACTGAAGAATGAACGCTACGGAGAAAATATGAAAGCTAAGGTGCCTTACGGCATTCTCGTTCCCTCCGACCTGCATTGCTCGTAACTGTACCCAGGTCCAATTTGTATCCAGCTGCGTGGACCTTATAAAGCTCAGATGGACCCCCAAGGACCGATGAACGGCAGAGCAATCAATGCACAGGAACACACCATAGGTAACACTAGCCCATGTCGGATTACTCCCACCACAGTCGAAGCATTGCTAAGGCGAAGATGACTAGGCCGACTGATGGTACCTTATTGCAGGGAAGAGACTTCAGCTTCGTAAGAACGGTGCTGATTTCATGCTTAGTCGGTTGGTTACCACTGCTCATTGATCAACTAGCTGTTCGGAAGCGCAGAAACGACGCGTCAAAAAAATTCGTAAACTGCGCACGGTCTTCAGTTCACTAGTCGGTATTTTCCGCATACATCATGTTCGGTTAAATCAACGGACTCAGTGGGTTTGGCGAGTAGCTTGCAGACCTATCGAGGCACCAGGTTCTTGGTTATGCGCTTCGGATAGAGGTACGGTCTGATTAAAATATAACCGCAAGTGGCTAGTGGTCATACGGACCTTGTTCGTCCAGCTTATACCATGGCATATAGAAAAAAGGTTTACCGATTCACTGATTCACGGATCCACGGATTCACGGGTCGGTTTCGTTCTTGTCATTCAGCGGCTGCCGTTCACCTGCAAGGAACGAGTGAAAAAAGGTGTAGCACTGCTCTTTATGTTCTCAACGCGGGGCAGTATGCTTGCCAGCGCGAGGATTCGCATAAATAAATGTCTAGTAGTGCTTTAAACTGGGTTCTAGAAGGAGGGTGGACAACCGTCGGAGAAAGGTCATTCCACGCAGCTACTATCTGCCTAATTAATATGTGCGCTCCGAGCTTGAAAATCTCCTTACTATGTCCCCGCCGTGTGTACGTTGGGTCAAAGATGGAAAACCTGTTGGCGGGTAAAAGAGGGAAAACCTGTTGGCCAAGCTTGGTTCAAACAGGTTGGTGTTATTCGATTAATTTACAAGCCGGTGGGTAAGGATAAAAGGCACTGATCGAAGTGGGAATAGAATGGAATATTTAGCTATCTCATTGTTTCCCCTTGCCCTTCATTTTCTTCTTTTCTCAGTAAGCATTGACTGTGGCAAGAGTAAAGCAAACGGCGGAATGCGGTTTGGTATGTTCCATAAATTCACGGGTTCGCGGATCGATACACAGGATCGATACTTTTGCTCAAGCCTCCAGATTCGGGTTTGCTTTCGTCATTCAGCGGCTTGTATTCACCCGAACGATATAGGGAATAAAGGGTGTAGCACTGCTCTTCAAGTTCTCAGCGCAGAGAAGCAGTCTTGCCTAGGATTTAAGGCCAGTAGCCACTTTCGTAGCATTTTTTGGACACGCTCAATGTGGTTATGTCCTTCTTGCGCCCTGAGTAGACAACTTGGTTGGCGTATTCAAGAATCAGTCTGACGTCGGCCCCAAGTGAGTAGCACTTCTCGCTGATTTCTTAGCATGAAACAGTAAGGTGACCAGTGTGTGGACGCACATGACGAGTGTCTAAAATCGACTTGAACTAGGTAGCACATACAGCGTGAACAACCGTCATAGGAAAAGTATTTCAAAAACTTACCACCCAAAATTAGAAAAATTGTTGCCTAATAAAGGTATGTGGTCTGATCCTCAAAACTCCAGCAGTGTGTTACTTGGACCAAGAGTGAAACATCGCCGGCTTAGCGTGGCTTGAGGAGTCAGTCATTAAGGGCGAACTTCTATAATTTGTGTTCTCTTCCGGAACGAGCCGGTGAATCACCACCCCACTACTGGGTATGTGGACGCTCTCACACTACAGTGTATCAGAGTCTAGTCTATTTTTCGTGCTTACTCCTTCAGGTCATACTACAGTGTGATTCTTTCGTTGTTTCAGGGCACTGAGCGCTAAATTCTCATACATAATATGCAGGTTTATGTAGATGATCGCGTAAGGAATACCGTTTGTTGAGTGCATTCCTCATCTTAGACTTCCGGTTGTTTATTGTTCAAGACCAAGTATAGAGCCTTCCTGGACATTACCGAGTCTGGTATGTAAGGTGCATTGGCCCTATCTTATCGAATGTTCAGTATATGATGCAGCTAGGATGACACAGGAGGACAAGTTCAGTCCCCACGAATTTGAAATGATTTGTAAGCTTCACGTGCCCCATTTTATCACACCTAAAAAATCGAATTGCGCAGTACTCGTGTGGGTAGTACTGCCCAGTATCAGTAACACACATGCCACTATACTGGTGTCGGATGAGGCGGCCCTTGCGGGAAACTGACTGGGGGGTACAAGGGGACAAATTAGGTGTAAGTCAAAACCGGTTCGGCCGAGCAAGAAAGCAAAGTGGAAAATTAAATTGATGTCACTTAGGATTCGTTACTTTCTGTACGACCTTTGAAGTTTGATTCGGAGCCCTGTGTGTTCGTACACATAGCTATCGTCTTGCCTGGTTTTTCGTCTACTTAAAAAGGTTTATTTAATCCTCTTTAGCTTATAGCCAAATTCGGGAACGAAAACCGCACCCATTTTCAGCTTTGAATTAGCCTTCAGTTATTATCGCAGCGTGGTCCTCGTATGTCAGTGCCATCGTTTGCAGACCAAATTCTTATATTTATTCCAATATATATTTCAATGTCAGTGACTCTTTGGCACTCTATCGACGCAACAACTAAGTTCTTTCTGCTTAAATATCGGAAAAGTTGATTAACACATATTATCTACTAGGGTTCAATAACAAGTAATCATGAGCTTACTTCCTCGCCTGTGGAAAGGATGCAGATTGAGACGTTACCGGGTTGATTTAAACATTGGAGTTAACGAAACTGCAGAGATGACAAAATCAAAGATGCACGCTTTTTGCTGGACGCGCAATCGAAACTTGCAGAAATGCAAAAGAACAATGTGGTAAGACGTGCAGAAGTTTCAGAAAAGAATTTGGTTGATTTGAGGTAAAACTGAAAGCCGCTGCTGAGGATGGGTTGCCATGGACAGTTGGGTTAATGTCCAGGTTCGTGGAAAGCCTAAGCGGGGATGATGAAGTGGAAAAATTTCTGTTGTGTATAATTTGTAATTTGCATCTCGGAACTATAGCGTACATTGGATCGGAATGGACGCGCCGGTGTCGCCATTGAAATCGGATAGGGAGAAAAGTCATCCGGTATAAGGGATACCGATAACGCATGGGGAGAAACAATCAGCCCTTAGCAATATGGACGAGGCAAACCGAAAATGCAGCGGCATAGCGAGATCATAAGTCCGGGAAAGGATTCAGAGGGTTTGATCAAACACAGCTCAGAGGTAATTGAGTTCAGTTAGGCAGCTTGCTCATCGTTGTCAGCGGAGGTCCGGGGGAGGGACGAGGGCATATGGTTGACATTAGGAAGAAAATAAGTGAGGGCGTGTCATCAGGTTCAGTATCGCAGCACCATGCCAACGCGGCACTGGGATACTTTCTTTCTGGAAGGTCCCGAAACAAACGTCATGGTCGACGTGATCGGAGCAGGGATTTGCATTCCCGTTGTTAGAAGGGCTTGGACACTCGTTTGGATAAGGCGAAGGTCAAATGAAACGAACACGATCGAACGGGTGGCTAAGACTGATCAAGGCCGCCGCACCACGATCCAAAAACTCTTGGGATTTCCCCATTATTCATCCAAACATACACCAAATTATCACATTATGCCACAACCCCCATCTTCCCCCTGAAAACGGGTGCAATGTTCCGAACCCCCGTTAAAGTTCAAAGAGGTGGCTTACAGCCAAAAGATCTAGCCTCAAGCTGTTTGAACTTCCGAAGCCAGTAAACACGGTGCTCCAAACAACCTCAGGCAGTTCAGTAGTACTATTGACAGCTTTTCGCCTTTTCCAAGTAGCGACTGAATTCTCTTACCGCTACCAGAGGCTCTCGGTTCTAGAAGAGCCTGGTAACTCTTAGAGCACACCGGCACACGATGGAATATGAACTGGCCACCTTCCGAGTCGTACAGCTCCTAAATCTCGGCGCAACATGCATGCAA